CGAGTATAGCAGGGATTGTGGGGCTGGTGCGGGATCGGGCAGTGTTTCGTTCTGCTGTGCATGGGGTCGCTATGAGTCGGAAACGACTCGATGGCACTTAGCAACAACAACAACAACATCATTCCCATATACTGTTGGGGCTGCTGGTCTATCTGAATTTTTCAAACCTTCTCCACTGTGCTCCTGGACATCCAGTTTGAGATGGTATGATGTAGGACTCTGTGTCAGGTCTGATCTTGGGTAAGAGTTTGAATGGGAAGAGGGAGAGGATAACCTGATCTTACAGCCAGAAAATTTCTAAGTGTATACTGTGGATATGTGTCATACTTTTGATAATATTAGCTATATGAGCAAGTTTTGGATTGCCACGGAACATCAGGAAATTTGAAAGTAATGTATTCATTGTCAGATTAGAGGAAAACAGTCACTGTATATTGCAGCTGATATTGCAATATGCTTTAATATTGAGCCAAGAGAGGAAAGGTTGAGCAGGTAAGTCTTGAGATAGTGATTTACACGGCTTTTGACAAATTTCCACATCCAGGATTTGAAGACTAATGAGCCTCGGCTGAGGGATATCAATAAGGTGGCTGATGATCTGCTATTTGAGGATCTTCTAACACCAGAAGGAGCTCAAATCCGACAGGTAAATAAGACTCCTTCTATTCATCCTCACCACTAGCCTGAACTTCTTGGTTCCAATTTCTTTTCAATATGCTCAACTTCTTGTTGCACAGGTTAGCTAGGAGAATGCAGAAAGTAATGACAGTGTGGAGCTGTCTACAGGAAAGTCTAAGGACAAATAGTCCAGGCATTTTTATTGTCAAAGGAACTTAATGAAAGCTGACTTATTTAACATCCATTGAGTGTCCTCTGTGCTTCCACAATAGGTGTTATGTGGGCATGTTGTAGTATCAGACAGGAATTCAGATTTAGCTTCACGACATAGAATATTGCACTGGATATCATGAACATTGGGTTTAATTTCTGACTCTACCACCATCTCGCTCTGTGTCCTTGGGCAAGTCCCTTTATTTCTGAGGACCTCGATTGCCACATCTGTAAAGGGAGAGCATTGCATAGCACAATCTCTAAGTTTCATTTTAATTTTCTGCTCTGTGCTCCACTAATTGAACATAAAGTACTTCTCTCTACTCATACCATAAAATATTTCTAATTGAAAATTCTAAATAATTATATTTGACCAGACATCTTTAAATTGCAGCACATACTCACTCACCACACCACCACCATCACACACACCCAGAAAATCCAGTGCTCAAATGTCTGAATACAAGAACATGCAGAACAACAGAAAAAAAGAGGCTATTATAGTAGGAAGTGATTAATCAAGAAAGCTTATTGGAAGAGGTGGATTCTGATAAACACATTGAAAAAAGAGATGAATATAGTTTAGTGGAGATGACAGGGAGCATTCTGTGCCTAAGCAATTGGTGTGGACTATGGTTCTACAAAGGCCTGATATACGATTACAGAATGTCCAGTCCAGCCCTCTAGGTTGTCATAACCATTGAGAAAGACTTCTCAGCTCCTATCAGTGGTGGGTATCATGGGGTAAGAAGAAGTAGTACACATGTGAACAATCTACTTACTCTCCGTACAAAGTAAGCCTTGAAGGGTTACTAGGTTTCTTCACTTCAGGATGCAGAAAAGTATTAGATTTCTCTTAGAGAAATGTGATAGCTTCCAACTACCCAGACAACTTCCTTCAGTTTTTTGACATTGTAATGAAGTCTCTTTGGCAACATTCATCTACTTTTGCTCCAGGGTTGATGGTTCCATCCTGGCACATCAGTTTGAAAAGAAAAGAAACCCCTTTCTCTATCACCTTGAAGTAAGTGAGGCCCAAGCTTAGACGATCCAAGAAAGAATTAAAGCTATGCAATTTCTGAAGGATACAACATGAGCACAGACAAGATTTAAATCCTATCTGGTCTTCAGATACCACTGAACTATCTGAGTTATCTTCCTGGCTAAAGTTTGATGTGTCTGCTCACTTTCAGGAGTTGAATACTCGCTGGGGCTCCCTGCAGAGGCTGGCAGAGGAACAGCGCCAGCTACTGGGCAGTGCCCATGCTGTCCAGATGTTTCACAGGTGAGAAAGTAGTACTTCTCATAGACACACTCAAAGATCCCTGATTTTGTTTACTACGGTAGAACTATAGCTCTCTTTCCTGAGAGAGAGCCAAATTGCCAAGAGGAAAACAGATGTGTGAGTAGTAGATTCTTCACTTGGCACATATGGTACTCCAAGACAATCATCTTCCACATCTCTGGTGTCTACCCCTGGTACATAATTGGTTATATGTATGTATGTGTATATAGATAGATAGATAGATAGATACAGATATAGATAGATAGATAGATAGATATAGATATATACATATATAGATATATCAGACACAGACATAAACAATTGTTAAAGGAACAAAAAGAAACAATGTGGTATTTGTTGCCCTCTACTGTCCACTCTAGTTCACAATGTGATTGTTTAAGCCTCTATTTCTATTTTAAGTTTCATTCATGTTCATTGCTGAACTAGAAGCAGACAGTAGAGGGCAACAAATACATTGACTCTACCTGTACCTTCAACAATTATGTCTGATTTCCAAACCTGTGTCTAAATAAAACAAACAAGCAATCAAACAAAACCACAAAGAAACAAGCAAATGAACAAACAGAAATAGAAGCCAAATACCTTCGCTGTGTATAAATGTATTTTTGTAGATTTAGGGAAGGGAAAACTGAGACTCAAGTTCATCTGAAGCTATGGAGTGTAATGTTAACCATGTTACACCGCAGTCTGACTATGTGGTTCAAACTTGGCTCCAACATTTATCAGTGGTATGACTCTGAGAAAATACTTAGCCTCTTTAAGCCTGGGAATGACAATAGTAGCTATGCCTGTATCCATGCAATATCCACGGGAGTTGTTCTGAGGATTAAATGATAATAAGAATAAGGCTGACTATAAGGAGGAAGACAAATATATTAAAGGTGACTTCCTTACAAGCTCAGAAAATCTTCCTTTGCTACACGGTACACATGATTCCTACTAATCAGCAAAGTCACTCTTTACTCTCCTGTATAACAGAGATGCAGATGACACAAAGGAGCAGATTGAGAAGAAGTGCCAGGCCCTCTGTGCTGCTGACCCTGGCTCAGATCTGTTCAGTGTTCAAGCCCTTCAGCGACAGCATGAGGGCTTTGAGCGAGACCTCATGCCCTTGGGGGAAAAGGTGAGACAGTGTGTGCTGACAGGCTTTTCCAATGCTTTCTTCTTTGTGCTTACATTTACAAATGCCCTTATTTTGTTTATCCTATTCTGTGCTTGTTCTTTGTACCATCTCCCTAAGGCAAAGCCATTAAAAGGACAAGACCACAACCATTAACAAAGCAAACCTCCTACTTGCCATATGACTATCATATATTCCTTTGCCACTTTAGTGGATTCCAAGTGACCAGAAATTGCCTGAAGCTATTTGGAGACCATACCCAGGATAGTCAGGCCTATGCCTGAGATGGTGCAGAACTTCTTTAACCAGGAATCACATAAGCTTCCCAACACTACCCTGACCCAAAAGTGCACTCCTGAGCTTGCCAACAAGAGTCTGGGATGAATCATAGGCATCACACAACTTGGCATTATCATGTAGAGCAAAAAGTGCAGAAAATGTCTATATTGGAAAGATCTCCACATTAAGAATCTGAGTTAGTGATTTTACCACTAACCAGCAAAGTCACTTAACTACCCTACCCCACTGACTTCTTCTTCTTCTTCTTTTTTTTTTTTTTTTAATTGTGCTTCAGGTGCAAATTTACAAAGCAAATTTGTTTTACATTAAACAGTTAATGCACATTTGATTTCATGGCCCCGGTTACCAGCCTCAACCATAAAAAACTCTCCTCTCTCCTGCCTGTGACTACCCCCTTCCTGTGCCCTTCTTGTCTATGGATTCCTGTCTGTCCAGCTTTCCTTCTATGTGAATGCTGTGTCTCTGCTGTCTCATGGCTGCTTGATCTAAGTGGTCCATCTCCCTAGAGTAGGTGGGTGTATCTCTCTAGGGTAGGTGTTCTGCATGTAGGTCTTTCTACTATTATGCTGAGAGCCAATCCATGGAAGTGAGCACATTTCTAGGCCTGAAGGATAACCCGAGGTCATAGTCTCAGGGGTTCCATCAGTCTCTATCTGACCAGTAATTCTGGTCAATTTTGTGTTTTTGAATTTTGTTCCACATTTTTATCCCCACTCCATCTAGGATCTCTAATTTTGATCCCTTTCCGAGTGGTTGGTAGCCGGGCACTATGTAGTTCTTCTTGTCTCAGGGTCATGAAGGCTGAGGTCCTTGTAGTCCATTATATCTTTGGACTAATTGTTTCCAGATGACTTTGAGTTTCTTCATTCTTCTTTACTCCAGAAGAGCGGAGACTAATAGTGATACTTTAGATGGCCACTTGAAAGCTTTTAAGACTCCAGCCACTACTCACCAAAGTAGGATGTAGACAAAACTTTTATGTACTATGTTGTGCCAGTTGAGCATGATGTCCCCTGAGACTATAGCCCTGAACCTGCAGGCACAGTGATTCTCTGTCTCAGGGTGCTTGGTTGTCTCTGAGAAGCTACTCCAACACTGTCCTCTGTTGCTTCTGTAATATGTGTGGATAATTTTGTAGCACAAGTGCATATGTAAGATTGTCTTCAGTTAGATCTATCCTTGGTCTTGGGTATATTCTTATTCACCTACCCCCACCTGATCTTCTCACCTGTCTATGCATTTACCCGTACAAAGCCTAGTGTTTGGTATCAGTGGCAATGCAGTATTGTGCATGTGATAGTATTTACCTCTGTTGTCTATATATTTTGTGCATGTTTCTGTGTCTTTCCTTTCCCCAATATCACCATGCTGGTCACACCCCCACTGACTTTTTATTTTAGAAAGAAGTATGGTCATATCAATTTTGACTACTTCATAGAATTATCATGTGAACTGAAATAGTTGGCATTATTATTTTATAACATAACAAGATATGCTTTTTATATCTCTGATGTCTATTTTGAAAGATGAGCACCAAGGCTATAATCTCTTCTTTTCCTAGGACTCAGGTGTGATTAGGCTCTCATTACTCTAGGTTGATTACCAGAGCTCTTGCACCTCCTTAGGTCACCATCTTGGGAGAAACAGCAGAGCGGCTCAGTGAGTCCCATCCAGATGCCACCGAGGACCTGCAAAGGCAGCGAAGAGAGCTGAATGAAGCCTGGGATGAGCTGCTGGGACAAACAGAGGATCGTAAGGAGAACTTAAATGAGTCCCAGAAATTCTACCTGTTCCTCAGCAAGGCCAGGTAAAGCTCAAAGGTAGACTTTGAGCAGATGGAGTGGGTAATCCCTATTTTAGCCCCTGAGTGGAGTTTATAGGGGAAATCTAGATACAAGAGCTTTGCTGTTCACTTCTGGATAGTGAGGACACCGTGTGTCCAGTTCTGGTGAAACACAAAAATGTGAGGCTCAATACTCCAAACCATAAAATGTTGAAGTTGGAAGGAATATAAGGCCATCTAGGACATTTAAGTAAACATTTGTTGAGTGATTAATATGTATATTGCAATGTGTCAGCAGTTACAAAGATAGGGACTTCACTGTGTTGGGGATGCAGAGAAGAATACTGAGAACTACAGTAGAACATCATATGGCCCCAAATTCACATACTAGCAAACAACAGTGAGAACTTGGATATAGAGAGAACAGACAAGGCATTCTAGAAAAAAATAGCATTTTATTGGACTTATCTGTCAAGATTTTAACAAGGGACAGAAGAGAAAGATACTCATGTAGAGGGGACTATGCAAACAAAGTCTTAGAAAGGGACAGAATGTTGTTCATGGAGCAGGGGCAGCTAGAGAACAGGTTTGTATGTCGGGGGTAAGGAGATATAGCAAGAGAGAAATTTTAAAATGTTGGAATCAAATCCTGGAGAATTATTGCTTTGTTAAATAAGTTAAAGATTACTAGAGTCCAAACAAATCACCTGCAAAGATATATTTTATCTGTGGAACTATTCCTATGTTCTGCCTCATTATATTAGTCTATTAAGAGGAATAGTTAGAGTTGGAGATCAAGGAAGTAATAGCTCACAATGCAAAAATGTTAGAGAAGAAAGAAGGCTCATTTTGGCAAATTTCTGTGCTTGCTCTTGGCTTGTTCCTCCATAATTCTGCACCTCTGGAAAGCCATTTTCTTTCATGTCATATAAATAAACAGCATCCACCTCCATTCCCCAAACCAAATGCTTATATCCCTGCAGATACAGATTCTATCTGGAATTCATGTTCTGGACCAAATACTCTAAAAGTTTTGCTTCTCCTTCTTCATGATACTTTTGTTATCAGGGTTTTGAGTTTTTTAATAGCTATTTGTGTCTATGTTTTGTTTGCTTTTTCCCCTTTCAATGGAAATTGTTAGCTCCTAGAAAGCAAGAATATGTATTTTTGTCAATGCCTAAGGCATTTGACTGCTAACCAGAAGGCTGGTAGTTCAAACACACCAGCCACTCCTCAGAAAGAAGATTGGGCAATCTACTTCTGTAGAGACACCATCTTGGAAACCCAAGGAAGGGTCGCTAAGAGTCGGATCTGACTCGATGGCAGTGAGTTTGGTTTGGTTTTTGTTTGGGTAATTAGTAAACAAGAAAATTCAGTTGCTTGAATAAATAAATGGGTAATTTTATAAAAGAAGAAATATTTATGCCAATGATTGCTATTTAGCTAACAGGAGTCATAATACTTCATGACATGTTTAATTTGATCTCCACATATAATTTCAAGTTAATGCATAGTGACTTGACATTTATCCTCTTCGGAGGACAGATGTTAGGTCTGCACAGTCTTACTTCCTGACTGTTAAGAGAATGGGAAGTAAACTGACTTAATTAGCAGTGTATATTTTTTTTGTGTGTGTGAGTTTAGTGAGCAGAAGTCTTTACTGAATTCTGTTGTGTAAAAAAGTAAAAGGAAGGACATGTTTTCTTTGAGATTCAATAATAAGATAGACCTTTAAACCCAAGAAACCACTTAGAAAGGACAGGAGTTGATAGGAGCAATAATGGCATGCAGAGTAGCTCAGAATGCTGGAAGCCTAGGTTCCAGTTGAGATATTTCCTTTTGGTTATATCACATTGGGCTAATTACTAATTTTTCTAGGCTGATTTTCTCTTCTCTAAAATGGAAACAAATTCTTCACATTCTGTACAAGATTGTTGTAAGAAGTGGAAGAGATAATATATACGAAGAGATTTTCAAATGCAAGGGTTTACTATCAAGTGATAGAGTGCAAACAATAAACCTTAGATCTGTAAAGTATATAAAGACAGATGTTGTTGTTGTTATGTGCCATCAAGTCGGCCCCGACTCATAGCGACCCCTCCTTGGGTTTCCAAGGCAGTATCACTACAGAAATAGGATTGCCCAACCTTCCTTCTGAGGAGTGGCTGGTGGGTTTGAACTGCCAGCCTTCTGGTTAGCAGTCAAGTGCCTTGGGCACTATGCTACCATAGATGCTAATTACTCTCTAGAAAGAGAAGAATAATAGCCAGAGAACCCTTTAGCAAGTTGCAAGGTTTTCTTGTCAATACCAATATTCTGTCTAATTCTCTAGGGATCTACAGAATTGGATCAATGGCATTCGTGCCATGGTATCATCACAGGAGCTGGCTGAGGACTTAACTGGCACAGAGATCTTGCTGGAACGACACCAGGTATCACTGGACCTCACAACTTCCTCTCATTTTACAATTTCAGTGAAATTGGCTTCTCCACTCTCTGCCCCTTTCTTCCACAGGAGCAGCATGGTGACATGGAGGCTGAGGCTCCCACCTTCCAGGCCTTAGAGGACTTCGGTGCAGAACTTATGGGCAGTGGGCACCGTGACAGCCTTGAAATTGAAAAAAAGATTCAAGATATCAGACTACAGAGAGATGATTTGGAGAAAGCTTGGGAACAACGCAAGAAGATGCTGGACCAATGCCTGGAGTTGCAGGTATGGCAAATTCCCAATTGTTAATCATGATCAGCCTCAGTCTGTTTCCTTTCATGCAGTTTTTCTTGGTATAAGTTCTCAAATCATTGGCTTTTCCATGTGGTAAGCAGAAGGGCATCTCTTGTTATCTGATATTGGATTATCTGTTTTGTAGACTAATAGTTGTGATGTTCTTTGCTCTTATCCTTGTTAGAAGAACCACATACCATGGGAATCAGTTCTGGGCATTAAATGAAATCATTGTAATTTACCTGGTAGCATAGTGCCTAAGGCACTGGACTGCTAACCAGAAGGCTGGTAGTTCAAACCCACCAGCAACTCCTCAGAAGGAAGATGGGGCAATCTACTTCCATAGTGATACTGCCTCTGAAACCCAAGGAGGGGTCTCTATGAGTCGGGTCTGACTCGATGGCACATAAAAACAACAACAGTTATTTTTTTATTGTGGACCTACTGTGTTCAGCACCTTGGAGACACAAAAATTGGTAAGACTGGACCTGTTTTCTTATGTGTTGAAAACAGACATGCAGATAAATCATTTAGTACAATATGATGATTAATAAAACAACAGTACAAAATTTGCTTGGAGGCTAAAGAGGAGGCAGAAATTAATCCTTCTGAGGAGAAGCAGTGGGTGTGTCACAATATACCCTGAAATTTTAAAGAGTTTACCAGTTACCAGTGATTACCAAAGTTTTAAAGAGATAACTGGCCAGTATTCACCAAGTGTAGAATACAAGGAAGTACATAGTTTACATAAAAACATAAAATGTGTGTTCAAAGAGTAAAGAACCAAATAGCTAAAATTCATGGTATGGATATTGTGTGTGTGTGTGTGTGTTGTCTCTGTCCTATGAATGTTCAGGTGTTTTAGGTTATGGCTATTAAAGCACACCAACTCTAGTCTGTTCTTGACTGATGAAAATGATTGTTCCTTTTCCCAAATAGCTCAACAATTCTTTTTCATTTGTTATGTAGTTGTCTTATCTTTACCTTTGCCTTTCACAAGGCAAGTGCTTACTTCATCAATCCTAATTTTACTAATTTTCCCATTAACTCTAAATTACTTTAAGTCAAAGGAGAATTTTGATGACCTCATCTACATTTCACATGTCTCTGACCTACAGAGACTTGAGTGATGTCTAGAAGACTGGCATAAAATAAGTTCTCCATATCTTTAGCAAAGACACATGGACCCTTCCTTGCTCTTAAAAATTCACAATTCATCTCACCACTGATACTGTACAAAGCAGCTACTGGTAATTACATAGCTTAGGTATTTCTCAGACATATGTGCAAATTTTAAATGCTTGAAATAATAGAGAATGTCAAAGTTTCCTGGAAGTGGAGGCTTCTAGATGGTATGAGAGACTGCTCTCTTTATCTCTAAGTCCACCAATTCACCAATGAGAACACTAAAGTTCTGGACTCTAGAAACCCTTAGGAATATGTCACCCTCCTCTCTGAAGGCCTTACCACTTGCCTAAGAACTAGGCTGGTAGAAACTGAACATTGATATTACATTTTGAACAACATGAACAGTATTTGTCAACTATTCCAGGTAAATACCCATATATAAAAGTACATATTGAACAATTGAGTGAATGAATGTGGCCAGAACCCTAGACAAAGTTTCTAGGGAATTAATGGCCATCCAAGTAAGACAATTAGTATACTGAAAGGCTAAGTAGAGATGAGATTAAGCACCTGAATATCTATACTCCAACTGACCCTCCAATTCTCAGTCTCTCTATATAGTATTTTCTCTGTCTCATTATCTGTCTTTGTTTCTCCCTCACTTTCTTTCACACAAACACACACACATTTATTAATAATATAAGTACCCCCTGTAGGATCTCTTATGTCCATACAATATCATAGGACAGAGGTAAAACCATTTCTTCTGTCTTATTGAAATGAATGTACCATATACCTCTGCTAACATTCCCCATAGTTTTTCCAAGGGAACTGTGATCAGGCTGAGAGCTGGATGGTAGCACGTGAGACTTTCCTGAGGTCAGAAGACAAGGGCTCCTTAGACAGCCTGGAGGCCTTGATGAAGAAACGTGAAGACTTGGACAAAGCAATCACTGCCCAGGTAATAACAGCTACTATAAAGAGTGTAATGATACCTTGAAGGCACAGTGATTAATTGCTTGGCTGGTAACTGAAAGGTCAGCAGTTCAAACCCACTAGCACTTTGCAGGAGAAAGAAGTGGCAGTCTGTTTCCCTAAACATTATAGCCTTGAAAACCCTGTGGGGCAATTCTACTCTGTCTTATGGGTTGAAGTTGACTTGATGACAATGGGTTGGGTTAAATAAAAACCCAAATAATTTCTGAGATATTTTCCAGACCTTCGTTGTATATTTTAATGTTTTTTTTTTAAGTATTTTGACATCCATTTTCTTCTCATTGAAAATGGAGGTAGGCAAGGAAGCTTCACGCTGTGGTTTAGTCTTGCCTAAATCACATGTAGTACATGAACTTTCTCACTTTAAGTTCATTTGTGTTATTTTTCAGGTTTTAACTCCAAACCCAACATAATTGTGCTGTAGGGGGTGGTGAAATAGTGAAGGATATTGCGTAGGCTTATTGCTTAGGGTAAATGGAGAGACAGGCAGCTTAATGGACTTGTGTTCTCAGACTGAATTAAGTGGAAACCACTTAACCTATTTAACAATTGAACACAGAAGTAAATTTACTGTGAAGTCCATTGAAAGTACTTCACTCAATACAGATTTTATGCATGATACCTATAAATTAGTAAATTAAACAGAAGATTCTACAAGATGACTCTTTCACCTGGTAATCAATTTTATCCCTCTCTTATCCTAAATTTAAATTCAGTTATTTTTTTCTTTTTAATTTTTAAGATTTTCACACAACTTTTTCAGATCACAAAAACTATAGTAGTTATATTTTAGAAGTATTCTCATAAATATGTCATCTTACAGGATAACAAATAAATATTGACTCAGCATTGAAAGTACCCAATGGGCTTAAATTCCAAGAAAATAGTATTTTCACTAATTGATCAATAACTAGGTGGGGGAGAGCTAGAATTGGTTTTGCTTCCTAAGATATTTATATTAGAAAATTTCAAAGATAACCAGGAATAATTTAAAATTCAGAAAATCTGACTTTTAGAATTAAAAGAGACTTTATATACTATTTCAGAATTCCACCCATGCAAGAATAACCTCTACAGTGGCCCTCAGAAATGGTTGTTCTCCAGAGAACTTTTTTTCCACACAAGTAGCCCATCTACTTGTTGACCAGCACAGATTTTTAATTGTTTCTTCTCTTGTTGAGTTGAAGTCCACCTCCTTGTAAAAACATTTAACCTTTGGTCTTGGTGCTGCCCTCTAGACCACAAAGGATATGTCTCTTCTTTTCTAGGAGGGATTGTGGGATTGCACCAAAAATCTAATCTCCAGACATCTGGACTCTTTCCTTTTCCTTTCACTAGGGAGGAAAGATCACCGACCTAAAACTTTTTGCTGAGCGCCTCATAGCTGATGACCACTACGCCAAGGAAGCAATTGCTGCTCGGCTCCAACGGGTGCTAGACAGGTCAGGCCCGAGTGATTGTTTAGTTAGCTAAAATAAGATATAGAAAAAGGACTTCTTTGTTAGCCTTTAATTTTGAGGTGACACTTTGGGTTCTTCTCTTTTCTAGATGTCTAAAATTATCTTGACACCTTGGGAAATTTGCTCACCTAGACTCATAGAATGAAAGGTCTGGAAAATATCTCAGAAATTATTTGGGTTAACCATTGCATTCTAGGAGCTCTGGTAGTGTAGTGCCTAAGGCACTTGACTGCTAACCAGAAGGCTGGTGGTTCAAACCCACCAGCCACTGCTCAGAAGGAACTTTGGGCAATCTACTTCCATAGTGATACTGTCGTCCGACTCGACGGCACATAACAACAACAACAACATTGCATTCTATACTTGATAATAATAATACTGTGAGAAGAGAAAGGCCAGACTGGTGGGTGAAAAGATTCATGGATATCGCATCAGAGCTTAGGAAAGGCAAAGGACAGAGAGTTCTCTGGCCCCCTTCTCCAGGTGGAATGCTCTCAAAGCTCAGCTAATTGCTGAGAGAACGAAGCTTGGAGACTATGCTGACCTGAAACAATTTAACCGTGATCTTGAGGAACTGGAAGAGTGGATCAGTGAGATGCTACCCACAGCTTGTGATGAATCCTACAAAGACCCTACCAACATTCAGGTAAGTTTGAAATAAGAATGTTAGAAAACTTCACGATATCTAGATTGTTGGTTAAATGGTCATCCCAGTACACTGACCACTCCTTTATTCTTGAGGCCACTGATACCACCATTGGGGATTTATCAATCTAATGTGGAATGGGTCCTTTAGAAGTCACCAACACCTTCAGAAATACCATGACAGAACATTAACTCTTCCCTTTCATCAGCAATTACTTCATCCTGCTTCCCTAAAGGAGAAGTTAATTTTTTTTCTTTCAGAGGAAATACCTGAAGCATCAGACCTTTGAAAATGAGGTCTATGGTCGAGCTGAGCAAGTAGAAGGAGTCATCAATCTGGGGAACTCCCTGATTGAGAGGAAGGCATGTGATGGCAATGAAGAGATCATGAAGGTAGGAGTTTGTTCTCAGTCTGGGCTCTAAGCCAGAAAGACAAGTTAAAAAAATCTTTTATTCTTTCAATGTTTCCATGTATAAGGATACAAAAAATATACTATGGTCAATGGCCTTTCCTCTGATTGTTGCACAAAGAAGGAAGAAAGCAGTGATGCTTAAACCTTCTGCTCTTATCATAATAGAACTTAAACTAAATAAGCTCACTGCCATCGAGTCCGATCTGACTCATAGTGACCCCTTCTTGGGTTTCCAAGGAGGTTATCACTATGGAACTTAGAACTCCAAACAAGTGTTAAACATAATCCCTATATCTTATCATGCTTACTAGTTCCTAAGTCTAGCAGTGTGTTTTTGTTTGTTTGTTTGTTTTGTTTTTTACATTTTCTAGCTATATTGTCAGGAATCTTTACGCATTCAGAGTTTAATTTCTGAAATCAGGGCAGGAACATGTCCTGAAGTGTATCCTTCTTTCTAACACCCCTGTTGTTTCCCAGGTTAAGTATAACTGTTTTAACATGTGTGATATTCAAGTGCTAACAAATTTGGACTAGTCCTTCTCCTTAGAGCCTCCCTTCACTATCCCCTCAGGTTGTCACAGGACTCTGAGTTTAATCACTTGCACACTCCTCACTTTATTTGGGTTAGGGGCAACTGGAAGAATTGGAGAAACACTGGGACTACCTGCTTGAGAGAACATTTGACAAAAGACAGAAGCTCGCTGAGGCCAGTCGCCAGCAGAGGTTCAACACAGGAATCCGGGATTTTGAATTCTGGCTCTCAGAGGTAATTACACCTAGGTATAATGGGGGCACAGAAGCTTTAGGAAAATGAAGATGAGGAATCTTTGTTCTAAAATAAGATAGCATTCATATTCTAAGTCTTTCCATGTAATGAGGATGTAAGTCATCCACTAAACTACACAGTAATCAGGAAATCAGCAGAAATGGTGAGAATCCATGCTAGGATCTCAACTCATCTGGGGACCTGTGTGTCATGGGAAATCATAAAATGACTGGGAAGAAACTTTGAAGACAATATAATTCAATAAAAAATCCAGAAGTTCCTTCTATGGTATCCCTATGAAGAAATCTCCTGGCCTACAATTGCATACCCTAAATGATAGGAAAATCATTACCTTTACTTTCCAAGGAAGACCATTGGGACATTTTCCTTGGCATTCAACCTAAATAAGCTTGCTTTAATTCTGTTCCTATGATTTTGTTGTTTGGTGCCGTTGAGTCAGCTCTGACTCATAGCAACCCTATGTGAACAGAACAAAATACTGCCTGGTACTGCACCGGCCTCACAATGCTTGCTATACCTGAGCCCATTATTACAACCACTGTGTCAAACCATCTTGTTGAGGGCCTTCCACATTTTGCCGACCCTACACCAAGCATGAGATCCTTCTCCAGGGGCTGGTCTCTTCTGATAACATGACCAAAGTAGGTGAGATGAAGTCTGGCAGTTCTCACTTCCGAGGAGCATTCTGGCTGCACTTATTCCAGGACAGATTTGTTCATTCTTTTGGCAGTCCATGGTACTTTCAGTATTCTTCACCAACACCACAACCCAAAAGAACTAACTCTTCTTCAGTCTTCCTTATTCATTATCCAGCTTTCACATGCATATAATATGATTGAAAAAACCATGGCTTGGGTTAGGCACACTATAGTCTTCAAAGGGACTTTAAATGTTCTTTGGCACTTTAAATAAGTGTTTTGCAGCAGATTTTCCCAGGGCAATAGGTCATCTTATTCCTTGACTTCTGTTTCTATTGGTGTTGATAATGGAATCCAGCAATAAAATCTTTGACAACTTCAATCTTGTCTCCATTTATCATGATGCTGCTTATTGGTCCAGTTGTGAGGATTTTCATTTTCTTTATGCTGACATGTAATCCACTCAGCAGACTGTAGTCTTTAGTCTTCATCAGTAAGTGTTTTAAGTTATCTTTGCCTTCGGCAAGCAAGGTTTTGTCATCTGCATATTGCAGGTTGTTAATGAGTCTTCCTTCCAATCCTGATGCCGTGTTCTTCTTTGTATAGTCCATCTTCTTGGATTATTTGCTCAGCATACAGATTGGATAAGTATGGTGAAAGGAAACAATCCTGATGTACACCCTTCCTGATTTTAAACCATGCAGTATCCCTTGTTCTGTTCAAATGACAGCCTCCTGGTCTATGTATAGGTTCTTCATCAGCACAATTAATTGTTCTGGAATTCCCATTTTTCTCAATATTATCCATAATTTTTTATGATCTACACAATCAAATGCTTTTGGATAGTCAATAAAACAAGTTTTTGCCCATAGAATCTTTCAATATTGCAACTCGAGGTTTGAATTTTTTCAATTCTTTCAGCTTAAGAAATACTGAGTATGTTCTTCCCTTTTGGTTTTCTAACACCAGGTCTTTGTACATTTCATTATACTAATTAACTTTGTCCTCTTGAGCTGTTCTTTGAAATCTTATGTTCTGCTCTTTTATCTTGTCAGTTCTTCCATTTGCTTTAACTACCCTTTGTTCAAGAGCAAGTTTCAGAGTCTCTTCTGACACCCATTTTGGTCTTTCCTTCCTTTCTTGTCTTTTTATTGCCCTTTTGCTTTCTTCATGTATGATCTTGATGTCATCTCAGAATTTGTCTGGTTTTCAGTCACTGGTGTTCAATGAATCAAATCTATTCTTTGGATGGTCTCTGAATTCAGGTGGGATATAATCAAGGTCATACTTTGGCTCTCATGGACTTATTTTAATGGTCTTTAACTTCCACTTGAACTTACATATGATCAGTTGATGGTCTGTTCCACAATCAGCTCCTGACATTGTTTTGGCTGAAGATATTGAGCTTCTCCAACATGTTTTTCCACAGATGTAGTCATTCTGATTGTTGTGTATTCCATTTGGCGAAGTCCACATGTATGGCTGCCATTTATGTTGTTGAAAAAAGGTACTTGCAATGAACAAGTTGTTGGTTTTGCAGACTTCTATCATGCAATCTCCAGCACCATTTCTATCACCAAGACCATGTTTTCCAACTATTGATGATTCTTCTTTGTTTGCAACTTTTGTATTCCAATCACCAGTAATAATTAACACATCTTTATTATATGTTTGGTCAATTTCAGACTGAGGAAATTGGTAAAAATCTTCAATTTCTTTGTCTTTGGCTTTGGAAATTGGTGGGTAAATTTGAATAATAATAGTATTAACTGGTCTTCCTTGTAGGTATATGCATATTATCTTATCATTGACAACATTGTACTTCAGGATGGATCTTGAAACATTTTTTGTGTTGATGAATGCTATGCCATTCCTCTTCAATTTGTCATTGCTGGTGTGGTAGACCATACGGTTGTCTGATTCAAAATGCCCAGAACTAGTCCATTTCATCTCACTAATGACTGGGATATTGATCTTTACTCATTCCATTTCATTTTTGTCGGCTTCCAATTTTCCTAGATTCATGCTTTATATGCTACATGTTCTGATTATTAATGGATGTTTGCAGCTATTTCTTCCCATTTTGAGTTCTGCCACCTCAGCAAATGAAAGTCCCAAAAGCTTTACTCCATCTAAGTCATTAAGTTAAACTCTATTGTGAAAAGGTAGCTCTTCTCCAATCATATTTTGAGTGCCTTCCGACCTGAGGGGCTCATTTTCTGGCACTATAGTGGAGACTGTTTCAGGGCTATTCATAAAGTTTTCCAGTACTATATTAGACAGTGTTTCACTGCTATTTGTCAAGTTTTCATTGGCTAATTCTTTGAGAAATGGATGTCCTCTTCCTTCTTCTAAGTTTGACTTAGTCTGGAAGCTCTGCCAAAACATGTCCCCCATGGGTGACCCTGCTGGTATTTGAAATACCAGTGGCATAGTCTCCAACCTCACAACAACACACAAACCACCACAGTATGATAAATTTAAACATGAGTGGTGGTCTGTCCCTATAAAAAAGCAAACCCACAGCCATCAAGTCAATTCTGACTCATAGCAACACCCTTTGGGTTTCTGGGGCAGTAAATCTTTATGGAAGTAGATTGCCTAGTCTTCCTTCCGTGGAGTGGCTGATGTGTTTGAACTACCAACCTTCTGGTTGGCAGTCAAATGCCTTAGGCATTATGCCACCAGAGCTCCTTTATGTCTGTCCCTATAGACATACTAAATTAGTCTAGTTTTATCCTTTGCTCTTCTATTCAGTTCTTTCAACATTTCCTTTATATTTATTGGTTGCAAGTCCTCTTACAAACCTGGTTATTCTCCTCTGAACATGTTTCATCTGTTCTGTTTTTCCAATGATGGTGACCAGAACTAAACCTGATATTGAAGGGAGGTCATTTATCAATAATTTGATAATAAGTTATCAAATACTTAATAATCAGATGGCTTTGCCCTAGTTGAAGCAGGTTGCTTTATGAATACAAATTAAAAATCTCATATGAAATAAATACTTTATGATGGCCTTTTGAAATGAACATCAAAACAGGGATGTGGTATGACCACACATGTAAAATCCATGATTGTAAGAATGGTATCAAACTTGTTTAGCATACTATTCCCAGTAATAAATACTGTACCAGATATCTAGTAAGTATTTAATAATCAGTGCGCAATACAGTGACATATTTCTTCCAGTGTCCAGAATACTCTATTGATAACAATGCAGCCTCAGACTGTTGGTACTCTTTTGCTAGGTATAAAGGGACAATGTAACATCTATCTAGTATAAAGGCTTAAGAGAAGAGGAGTTGTATTAGGAAAAGGACAAATAAGCTGAAATTGTGACTGGAGGCTTAGAAAAAAATGAGCTCCAATTCTGTTCTTCTCAAACCCAAACTTTGATTCCACACTGAGGAATAAAATAGAAATATAAGTCTTTCTAAATTTCCCTCAGTTGTATCCTATCAACATGGTTGTTGATTCATAGGATGTGTGAGTTGTAAGGGATTTTAATAATATTAATGTTATTGAGTTATTAAGTTAATGATACTGACTTCACCATCACCATTGGGAGCAATGTATTAAACATGGACCACATTGCAATTTTTACTGAAACTCAAAAATGCTAAGTAATATAATAGCTAGAATATAATAGAGCCATGATACAAACTCAGTTCTGATTGATTCTAAAGGATCTCATTGTCTTTTATCCCACAACCTCATTTTTCAGATGGAGCTCTGGTAGTGTAGTGCCTAAGGCACTTGACTGCTAACCAGAAGGCCGGCGGTTCAAACCCACCAGCCACACCTTGGAAGGAAGGTTAGGCAATCAACTTCCATAGTGATACTGCCTCGGAAACCTAAGGAGGGGTCGCTATGAGTTGGGGCTGACTCGAGGGCACATAACAACTACAACAACCTTAAGAAATGTAGACAAATCTTTCAATTTCTTTTTCCAGCTTATATTAAAGTTATTTTCTCCTAGTTTCCCTAATGTTCTATCCAAAATCCTCTTTGACTCAATCCCAGCTCTACTAAGATATCCCTCCAAAGTCTAGTTATCTCATAATTATAACATATACAAGAGTTATTGGGGGTTCCATAGTTCTGTCTAGTTTGCTGTCACTGCTGGCCCCTTGATGGAGAGAAGAAGTTAGACCCAGGTTCCATTCTGTTCCATTCTTTCCTGGAGAGTCACTTGGATAGTTGTTGCATTGTTCTTCTAACCTCTTTTAAAATACATCAATATTCTTTATATTGGAGCACAACAAATGATTCCTGAGCAAATACTATACGGCAGGCTCTTTATATATGTTAGCTCACTTAGTGCTAATAAGAGGCTCAAATTTTACTAATGCCAATACCAAGCCTTACAGAGCAGTTAAATAATTGGTCCAAAAGCACAAATACTTTTTGTTGCAAAGCTTGAATTCTGATCCATTATCATTACAAAGCCCATATCCTTTGCATTACACACCTCATCTCCTTGGGTTTAGAAATGCAATGGTATTTTGTTGTTGTTGTTGTTTGTCATTAACTAAAAAAAAAAAAAAATTCCTCACTGCCATTGAGTCAATTCCAACTCATAGTGACCCCATATGGGTTTCCAAGGTGGTAAATCTTTATAGTAGTAGATTGCCCAGTCTTCCTTCCATGGAGTGGCTAGTGGGTTTGAATCACCAACCTTCTGGTTAGCAGTCAAATATCTTAGGCACTACACCACCAGAGTTCATTTTAATACTTATCTATTTGGAGAAGTATGCTTTGCCAAAAGTCTTTTATTCCACCTATTCTGTAACTTATCAAATGGCTTTGGACTACTTGGAGCACGTTGTTTTATAAATACAAATGAAAAATCTTATATGAAATCAATAGTTTATAATCACAAGCAGTGCTGTTTGAAGTGAAAACAAAAGCAGTGGTGTGGCATGAGCATAATAATAAAATGATTGTAAGAAAGTTTTCAAATTTGTTCACTATAATATCCCCAGTAATAAACACAATGCCAGACATATAGTAAGAATTTAATAAAAACTTATCAGATAAACAAATGCATGCATAAATTGTTTCTTTAACATTTTTTTGGGGGAAAGTTTGAGGACATACATTGCTAATTACATTCTCCTTAAAGACAATTTTTATCTGGAAGCTTTATTTCTTGATCTCCCATTACTAGGCAGAGACACTGCTGGCTATGAAAGATCAAGCCAGGGACTTGGCTTCCGCAGGCAACCTGCTCAAGAAGCATCAGCTATTGGAAACAGAAATGTTGGCCCGAGAGGTAAGTAGTTCTGGAATCCTACCCCCTGGCCAGAATGGAAGGGCTTTTGACTTTCCTCTCTCCTGTCCATTTGAAATCACAGCATTGCAAAACTAACCTTAGTGTTCTCAGTTAGCAGTCATTATTACCAGGTGAAATCCATGGACTTCATGGTTGTTGTAACAGTCATTGTTAACCAATCATCATTAATCTATAGATTTCAAGACTCTAGGGAGTGAATCATAAGATTATCTCATTTATTTGTTTTCTTGATGCATGCATATAAACTCACTATCTTCCAAAGCTATCTATTTGATCTTGTCTTTGAAAAACATAAAAGTATATTTTATAGAATTTAGTTGAAAAATGAAATCAGATGGAGATGTGTGAAATGAAGTTACAAAGTGTAGATGAAACTACATATACACTCTGGAAATTCCAAGAAAGACTCCAGTTGCATCCTGATAGCAATAAGAAATCGGTCATGGGATCAGTTAGGGACATGCTGGCAGGTGTCAGTTTCGTAACAGAGAACTTTTATGTTACCAATTTTATTTGATTATACAGATACACAAGAAGGAGAGGAAGTTAAGAGCTTTCTAGGTACAAGGCTTCAGGGCTTGGCAATGTCCTCTGGGACATGATTAGGTGACAGGTTTAGAATGGGAATAGATACGGAAGACCAAAACTCATTGTCATCAAGTGGATTCCAACTTACAGCTATCTTGTAGGACAGAGCGGAACTGCCCACAGGGTTTCCAAGGCTATACATCTTTACAGAAGCAGACTGCCACATCTTTGTCCTGCAGAGTAGCTGGTGCATTCGAATCACTGACCTTTCGGTTAGCAGCTGATCACTTTTCACCACTGTGCTACCAGGGCTCTTAGACACAGAAGAGGCTATAAAATTCCTGAATGTGTTGTATAGCTGGCCTAAATATATATATATATATATATATATATATATATATATATATATATACCAATAGAGTAGTTGTTGTTGAATATTTCAATCAATTACTCTATCTACCGATAACTGTCAAATTGACTGCTGGGAAGGAAGAAAGTCTTATTTGGGAGCAGAGTGCTTGTTTACCAAGATCTTATATTCTAGTTGAGGAGAGAAGTCTAATGAAAGTGAAAGAATCAGATGAAAAAACAAGACATGTAAGGCCAAATGTGCAATTTGAGTAATATAGTCATGCTATCCATGCTGCTCTCTGATCGACCTCTTATCCAGACTCAGTTAAGAGTACAACATGGAATTCACTGTTTTCAAAAGCAATTTATTTGACTTGGTTTTTCCACCTGAGTCAGAACTGACTGAAGGTCTTAGGTCTAATTACTTTGTATTGTTCACTGAGAGCACTGGGTTTTTTTAGGATTCACTCGAGGACCTGAATGAATTGGCTGCTGATCTGCTCTCCAGTGGGACTTTCAATGTGGACCAGATCGTGGAGAAAAGGGATAATGTCAATGAGCGCTTCCTGAATGTCCAGAACTTGGCTGCTGCACACCATGAAAAACTGAAAGAGACCTATGCCTTGTTCCAGTTCTTCCAGGACCTAGATGACGAGGAATCCTGGATAGAGTATGCACTGCTAACTCATGGTGGTAGAATCATCCAAAACAGTAGATAATCCACAAAACATGTTTTTATTTAATGTTGGAATGAAATATGTAATTATTTCTTGCAGGTGGTATTTCCTCTTAATCATGTTAGCCTTAGTCTAAGATAACATTGGTTTTTATTTTTCTCAAATTCCCTTGCTAGATGCAGGTGGAGAGACATGAGCATAGACGGACTGGATAATAGCTCATGTATATACTGAGAACAAAATGAAAAGGCCATATACGTTTGTTCTAGATAGTTCATAAACTGTGTAATGCTTATGGAGACAGCTGGGCATTTACGTCAACTACTCAGCTGATGAGATCACTGTCATTATTCTGTCTGTATCCAATGTATCTTATATGGCCCTCCTGGACATTGGACAGAGAATACCATAAAGTACCTTCCCTGGTAATACCATAAAATACCTGCCCTGGTTTTATTAGTAATTCTATTTCAGTTGTGAAAAAAAATGTAATTGAGAATATTTTAGCAACTCAAATTCTTTACCCTACTTCCTATTTAATCTGCCTCGTTATGTTCACCTCCTGCAAATCTACTGATTCTTGCTGATGACTAATGGCTTAGAGTGAAGCACAATACTGGAAATTCTCCTTGTGACAGTTATCTTCACTCTTAGGGTGACAAGTAGGACATTGCTAAACCATTTTAGAAACCATGAAATAAGATAATTTTGCCTACGCAGTTTCTTCCTGAGCCTCATGATAGCGTTCTCTTTTTATGTTCTGAACCATCTCAGTTGCCATGACTTTTATCACATCAGCTTGCTATATTTACTCTACCTAAATTTATTATTTAGATGTTATATCTGTGCATATGGTAGAGATCAGCATGCTGTTTTAACTTGTAATGATATAAATATGAAATTTGGCTGGCAGCCACTGATACTAATTATTCTTTTTGTTTATTGGCACTGGGGTATTCCAGAATTTACCATCTCTCTCAGCCCCAAACCGCCCCCCCACACACACACATACACACTATTAGAAAACCATTGTTGTAGACTGACAGATTTCTTCTTCTCACTGGTCCCAGGGAGAAATTGGTACGAGTGAGCTCTCAAGACTACGGAAGAGATCTGCAAGGCACTCAGAACTTACTGAAGAAACACAAACGCCTAGAGGGAGAGCTGGTGGCACATGAGCCTGCTATCCAGGTGGGAATCATAGAATTATGGAGTGTCTGAAAGACAGCGATCACTTAGAGCCAGCCTTTCATGTTATGGATAAGTAGGATGAGGGCACAAGATGTGAAGGTAGCATGCACGGATAACATAGTTAATTACAGAGTTCACAAGTCCTTTTTTATCCTCCATATCTTATCTCCTATGAATAAAAGAATCCTGAACAGCAACCAATGATCTTAGCTGGAAGTAACACTTATAACACTCCTGGGACCAGTTGCTGACAAGATGCAAATTGGAACATCTTGAAAAGTGTGTTTGAGCCATGTGGGAAAAAAATGTGATTCTGGACCTGGCTTGGTAGGTCCTATTACCCTAAGTAGCCCACTAAACAGGTCATGGACAGTAGCCTAGTGCAAGCTTTGAGATATTTACCAAAATACCTGGAAAAATTTAGCCTAATATATCCTCTTTATTCTCCCAGGCTTTTCAAGACCATTCCAAGTCACATGGAGTTTGTGTGCATTATGGAAAGTAGTAAGGGATACATAAGTTACATAGATACTTTGACAGGGCACTGTGGCTAAATGGGGAGAGAGTGTGGGGTGATGAAACATTAAAGAGGTGTTTTCTCTAGAATGTGCTGGATATGGCAGAGAGGCTAGGAGACAAGGCTGCTGTGGGACAAGAGGAGATCCAGGAGCGGCTGGCTCAGTTTGTTCAACACTGGGAGAAACTGAAACAGTTGGCCAAGGCTCGGTGAGTGAGGGATAGAAGACCCAATTCTCTCCCAGGATTGTGGTTGTTGGGTTGGTGTTAGAAGAATACCTCATACCAGGTTATTTAGCCACATGTTCATTTTACTTTGCATCTGTCCCCAGTTTTAAAATTGTGTGCAGGATTTAGTAATGAAAATACAAATACATATTTGATTTTTCTATTATAGCCACAAAGCCAAGATTGAAAAATTTCTTCCTATATTTTCATATGTCTTGGTAATGACGAGGCATTTCTTCTGGGGGAGTGAATGGGAGCTTCTGAAGCTTTGTAGTTCCTTCATGATAGAAGAAAGAAGGCAGTGCTCAGAGTAGAAGGGAACACTGCTTAGCCGCTGATATTCTCCTTCTCTGAAACCTGGGCACTTCAAGGTTCTTACAGAGTGGACACTGCTTTGAAACTCAAACTCTCACTCACTGTTGTCGAATAGGATCTGACTCATAGTGACTCCTCCTTGGGCTTTCAAGGCAGTATCACTATGGAAGTAGATTGCCTAACCTACCTTCCTTCCAAGGAGTGGCTCGTGGGTTTGAATCGCTAACCTTCTGGTTAGCAGCAGTCAAATGCCTTAGTCACTGTGCCACCAGAGCTCCTTGCTTTGAACTAAGCTTTGTGTATTGGTTTCTCCTCAGCTGCACGGGAGATCGTACAACTAGTCAATAGACACATAACGGATTGGGCTCTGGTCAGGTTTCCTTGTGACTGGTTTATGTAATAAGCCATCTGTTTTGATTGGATTGTGCCATCCTGCTGCACTCCTGCTTGCTACTTTCTCCTTATTGGGTCTTACCACTAGTCTTTCCTCATTATAGGGGGCTTCGGTTGGAAGAGTCCCTACAATATTTGCAATTCATGGAGAATGCTGAAGAAGAGGAAGCTTGGATCAGTGAAAAGGAAGCTATGGTTTCCCGAGGGGATTCTGGAGACACATTGGCTGCTACTCAGGTGAGCAACAGTCTGAATAGATCAATTTTCTTCTCTTTAATTTGAACCTTAAGCAGGCAATGTTTTCTCCTGTGAAAATCAGAATCCTTGTCATAGTGGGAAAGGAGATGAGGGAAATATGGATAATTCTTCCAATTTTAAATATAGTATATCAGGATCCAAAGATGTAAGTCCAAGGTAAGGGAACCAATTAGGTGTGAAGGGAAGACTCAAATCATATTCCCATGATCTGTGATTTGTATATGAATCAAAGTCATCATGGTTAAAAATAGGCAGGCCTTTCTTTTGGCATAGATTTTCTAATGAGTATTAGTTTGCCATGGACTTGACTTTGACTCATAGTGACCCATGTGTATCAGAGTAGAACTGTGTGCTCCATAAGATTTCCAATGACTAATTTTTCAGAAGTCGATCCCCAAACTATTCTTCTGAGGCACCTCAGGGTGAACTCAAACCCATAGCCAAATTCACTAACCAAGAAACTCCTAGTTTTTCTAAAGTTTCCCTACAATCCTGATATTACACTGATTTGGAAAAATTCACCAATGAATGACCATTAGCTACTGCTTCTAGAATATGTAATTTTAGGGGAAGGGACTTCTGGATGTTTTTGTTGTTGTTAGGTCCCGTTGAGTCTTCTCTGACTCATAGTGACCCTATGCATGGTAGAACGAAACACCACCCGGTCCTGTGCCAGCTCCATGATGTTTGCTATACTTGAGCCCATTGCCATAGCCACTCTGTCAATCCATCTCATTGAGGGCCTTCCTCCCCTCTTTCATTGACCTACTTACTGAGCATGATATCCTTCTCCAGGAAATGGTCCCTTCTGATAACATGACCAAAGTAGATGAGATGAAGTCTGACCATTCTCCCTTCCAAGGAGAATTCTGGCTGAACTTCCACCAGGACAGATTTGTTAGTTCTTTTAGCAGTCCATGGTAATTTCAGCATTCTTCGCCAGCACAACTTCACCACAACTCAAAAGCATCAATTGTTCTTTGGTCTTCCTTATTCATTGTCCAGTTCTCATGTGCATATGAGGCAACTCAAAATATCATGGCTTGTGTCAGGCACACCTTAGACCTCAAGGAGACATCTTTGCTCTTCATCACTTGAAATAGGTCCTTTGCAGCTTATTTGCCCAGTGCTATATGTTGCTTGATGTTCTGACTGCTGCTTTCATTGGAGTTGATTGTAGAACCAAGCAATATGAAGTCTGACAACTTCAATCTTATCACAATTGATTATCAATCAATCAAGACAATCAAGATTGATTATCAATCTTAGCAATCTATATAGGTCCAGTTGTGAGGATTTTTGTTTTATTTATATTGAGATGTAATCCATACTGAAGACTGTATTCTTCAATCTTCATCGTAAGTGCTTCAAGTCATCCTCACTTTCAGCAAGCAAAGTTGTGTTGTCTGTGTATCGCAAGTTGTTAATGATTCTCCCTCCAATCTTGATGCCACATTCTTCTTCATATAGTTCAGCTTCTTGGATTATTTGCTCAGCATGCAGATTGAATAAGTATGGTGAAAGGATACAACCCTGATGTACTCCCTTCTTGATTTTACACCTTGCAGTGTCCCCTTGTTCCTCACTGCCATGGAGTCAACTCCAACTAAAAGTGACTCCCTTTGGGTTTCTGAGTGGTAAATCTTTACAGAGAAATCTAGTGTATGCTTTATTCAATTTCCTCCAAAGGTAACATCATACAATTACTATAGTACAATATCACAGCCAGGATATTGGTACAGTCAAGGTACATGGCATTTCCATCTCCGTAAGCATTTTTCATGTTGCTCTTTTATAGCAGTACTTATCTCCTTCCTGTTCCTATTCCTACCTTAATTCCTGGCAACAACTATTCTGTTTTCCTCTTCTAGAATTTTGTCATTTTAAGAACATTATATTAGATTAAATTATATAGTATATAACCTTTGGGGATTGGCTTTTCTTCACTCAGCATAACTCTTTAGAGACTCATTCAGGTTGTTACATGTGACACTACTTTCTTTCTGCTGCTGTGTAGTATTTCATGGTATGGATGCACCACAGTTTATTTAGGCATTCATCAATTGAAGGATATCTGGGTTGTTTCCAGTTTTTACCTATGAATGAAAATAAAAAAAGTCACTGCCATTGAGTTGATTCCAACTAATAGCAACCCTTTTGGGTTTCTGAGGTGGTAAATCGTTACAGAAGCCTATGAATAAATTTGCTATAAATATCCATGGACAGAATTTCTAAGTGAATATAGGTTGTTATTTCTGTTTGATAAATAATGAGGAGTCCAATTGTTGGGATGCAATGTAATTGCATATTTTGCTTTATATATATATATATAAATATAAATATATGTGTATATATATATATAT